ATTAGAAAGTGAGGACTTTCTAATCAGGACTCCTCCCTCCCCACTGCAAGAGAGCTGGTAGTTAAATATTTACCAGCACACCCCTGTCCACCTTCCAGCTAGTAGGGCTCAGAGTTAAAAACATGACCCAGACAAATCACAAACACCAGTTTTCAGCTTAGCTAAGTAGTACTTCTAGGAGTATTTACAACATATGCTTTCTTCAGCTGTGTATATAATATCAGGAAAAGTTAAATGCTACCCAGTGCCTCCAGGAGCTGGGGAGGTATGAGAAATGAGGCTCAGAACAGGAAGGGACCTTGTGAACTAGAAAATTAAGTCCAGGCTTCTGCCTTATTTCATACAGGTTCCCACATAAATGATTCCACTACTGAAAACTTGTATCTCACCATCAGTCCCTTTCTCCTGTCACCTGCTACCCCCTCCGCCCTGCTTCAGCTTTTCTTCACATCACAGTATTTGACACTATATTTGCTTATTGTTTGTTTCCTTTCCCAGAATACAAATTCAGCAAGGAAGCCGACATAATGGCAATGCCTAGTGCTAGAAGGTGTTTAGTAAACACTTGTTAGATGGATGGACATACGGACGGATGGACAAACCGGTTGGGTAGCCACTACCAAACTCCAGAATATTGCCAAGAGAGAATGTAGACCCACAATTATCAGATTTCCTTGTCTTTTAATTGGACCATGGATCAAAAAGGTAGTTTTAAAGTATATTAGAAAATATTTTGCTGGGCTTGATGGCTCACACCTATAATCCCAGCCCTTGGGAGGCTGAGGCAGGAGGATCGTTGTGAGTTGGGGCCCGCTTGCACTACAAAGTTGAGTTCAAGGCCAGCCTGGGCTACAGAGCAAGACCTTATTTCAAAAAACAAAACAAGCAAAAAAGAAAATACTTTGAACTGAATGAAAATTAAAATAAAATATGGGAAAATGTGTGAGATGCAGCTAAAGACATGCTTAGAAAAAAAGTTATAGTATTACAATGATTGCATTAGAAAAGAAGGTTCTCAAGTTAATAAACTAAGCTCCTACATTAGGGAAGTAAAAAAAAAGAACCAAATAAAACTAAAGCAAACAGGCATACAACAAAGGTATAGTCAGTAATGAATGAAATTGAAAACCAAAAAGCAACAGAAAAAAAAAATCAATGAAAGCAAAAGCTGTTATTTGAAAATATTAATTAACCAATAAACACCTGGCCAGACTGACCAAGAAAAAAAAAGGAGACCCAAATTACCAATATCAGGAATGAAAGAGGGTTTATCTCTACAGACCCCACAGCCACTAAGGGATGATAAAAGCATACTCTGAACAACTCTTCCCACATAATTTCAACAATTTAGATTAAACAGAAAAATTCCTTGAAAACCATAACCTAGCAAAATTGACTCAAGTATATTGATAACCTGAATAAATCTATAAAGTATCAAGTATATTGTATAAACTATTAAGTATATTGATAACCTGAATAAATTGGATCTGTAGCTTAAAATATTTCAAAAAAGAAATCTCTGTGCTCAAATGGTTTTATTGGTGAATTTTACCAAATAGTCTCCACAATCTCTTTTAAAAAACAGAAGAGGAAACACTTCCCAATTCATTTTACAAGACCAGCACTTCCCTCACTCTAAAGCCAAAGATATTACAAGAATAAAAAACTTAAACCAACGTCCCTCCAGAACAGAATGTGCCAAACTTCTGAAAAGGGCATCCAATCCAATCCAGTTCAATCCAGTCCAATCCAGTCCAATCCAATCCAATCCAACCCAACCCAACCTAATCCAATCCAATCCAATATTATATAAAAATGGATAATACACCATGTCCAAGTAGGGCTTATCCTGAGAATGCAAGACTGGTTCATTATTTGAAAATCAGTCGTGTAGTCTACCATATTAACAACCTAAAGAAGAAAAACTATGTAATCATATTAATAGATGCAGAAAAGTAGTTTTTAAAATTCAACACTCAAGCCAGGCATGGTGATACATGCCTGTAATCCAGGCACTTGGAAGGCTGAGACAAGAGGATTGCCACGAGTTTGAAGCCAGCCACCCATTCACTATTAAAAAACCATATAACCACCACTAACAACAAAACACCTCTCTTGGCTAACTGGGAGTGGATGGGAAGTTCTGTAAGCTCGTAAAGGGCCTCTACAAAAACCTAACAGTCAGTGTCATAATCATAAACTGTCTGAATGGGTTTTTTTGTCCCTAAAAGTAAAAAGAGACTTTCACAACTCCTTTTCATACTGTGTTGAAAGCCAGTGCTGTAGTAGGTACAATAAATAACAAAGTAAATACAAAGGCATACAGATTGGAAAGAAATCCAACCATCTCTAGTCTAGTTTCAGAGAATCTGATTATACATAGAAAAATCCAAAGGAATGCGCAGAACAGCTCTATAACTAATAAATGAACTTAGCAAGGTTGCAGGGTACAAAGTGAATGCACAAATGTCTATCATATTTCTATTTGCTGGCAGTCAACAAAAGAAAGATGAAACTTAAAAACCACCACAATTGATCAAAAAGTAAAGATATTGCTTCTAAATCCAACAAAATATGCACAGTTTCTCTATACCAAAAATACAAAATGCTGAGGAAAGAAATCAAAGAAGACTTAAATGAGAAAATATAAATTCGTAGATTGATAGGCTCAACATAAAGACACCAATTTTCTCCTTATTGATCTACAGATTTAGTGCAATAGCAAACAAATGCCAGAGGCCATTATGAAGCTATGGATAATCTGATTCCAAAGTTTTATGCAGAGAGGCAAAGGAACAATTTTTTTCTTTTGGTACCAGGAATCGAACTCAGGACCTTGCACTTACCAGGCAGGTGCTAAGCTGCCGAGCTATCTCCTCAGCCCAAAGGAATAATCTTGAGAAGCCCAAAGAAGTTTGAGAAAGAATAAACCTGGAGGAGTCACACCACTTACTTTTAAACCTATAACAATCAATAAGGCAGGGGACTGGCAAAGAGATACACATAAATCAATAAAATATAGATTCTAGAAATAAGCCTGTACAAATATGAACAATTAATTTCAGATGGTTTTCAAGATTTGAAAACAGAGAAAAGCAGCACTTGGTATTTGGATAATTGGACATATATATTAAAAATTATGAGCCTTGATGTAAATTTCATACCTAATGTGAAATTCAACTCAAAATGTATCTTAGGTGTAAATTTAAAACACAGAACTATAGACTGGTAGGCAAAAACATAGCCTGTATTTAACCAAAGAGTTCTGATACCTAGCACAACAGTATGATCGTAAAAGGAAAACTGACAAACTGGACTTCATGAAAATGTAGCACTTTCACTCTATGAACAGGATTATTAAGAGAATAAAAAGAGTAGCTACAGGCCAGGGAAATAGAGCTGCAAATCACTTATCTGACAAATAAGGTACACATAGAATATATCAAGAATTTTCAAAACTCAACAGTAAGAAAACAAGTTAGGAAAATAGTGAAGACTTCAATGGAACAAAGAGTTATAAAAGGTGATCCAGATGGTGTCTCAGTAGCCACAATAGAAATGCCAATTTAGGCTATCATGAGATACCAATATACATCTGTCTGAATGACTAAAAGAATAATACAAACCTACCAACAAGACCAATTGCAACTTTCTTTCTTAGGGCATCAAGACCTTGCATGAGCTGGTTCTGCCTACTTCTGTGTCTCAGTTAGCTTTGCATTATGGTGACTAAAGACCTGACACAAGCAGCTTAAAAGGAGCAAGGCGGGCAGGGTCGGTGGTGAATATTCACCTCACACACCAGAACCCTCCAACGATCTCTCCTTTCCTCTTCTCTTAACTTCCTTTGCTGCAGCCAGGTTAGTCATCTTCCTCTTCATAAAATATGTTAACTTGAGCCTGTAATCCCAGCATTTGGGGAAGCTGAGGCAAGGGGATGGCAAGTTAGAGTCCAGCCTGGGCAATTAAGCAATGTAGGGAGACCCTGTCTCAAAACAAAAAATAAAAAAAGATTGAGGATGTAGCTCAGTGTGAGGGTCCTGGGTTCAATCCCAGGTACTGCAAAAACAAACAAACAAATAATTTCTTTCTTGCCTTTCATATATAGGACTGATTCTTGTTATGATTTTCCACCTGAACTTCCCATGGTTGGTTCCTTCCTCTGGTTTCGGTAATTGACCAAATATCCTGTCTGCCTTGACTACCAAATCTAAAGTCTTCCTGTGCCCCTGCGTCAGTTAAACCCCGGTTCTTGACCGTACAGCCCTTTCCTTAAACTCTTATTCATCATTTGTTTCCTTCCTGGGATCCTCTAGCTCAAGAGAATGTGCAGCCTACCAGGACAGGGCATGAGGTCTTGTTCTCTGCGCTCCCCACATCTAGGGCATGTCTAGCAAACCGTAAGCCCTTGGAAATATCTCTAGAAACAATCACTGAATTCATTATTAACTAGTTACCTATCACAGTAAGGGACTGATGTACACACAGCTCCCAAGGCTGGTCTTCCGGAAATGAGGCCACCTCGGCCTGCCCGGGTTCGCCCCGGTGACAGGCCTGCCCCCTTTACAACTTCTGAATACCCTCCCTCTCTCAATGCTGCGCATCATCCCAGAGGTGTGGATGACCCGCTCCGTGCTTTTAAAGCTTAACGTGCAAAAGGGTTAAGTGGTTTATGCACTACACAGCAGTGCAAAAGTCAGGATATAAGATTACAGTACAGAAACTCGTTCCTTATTTGCAAACGGGATTAATCATTTCTTTAAACAGCCTCCTTCTTAAAGTGGAAGATCTGACTTCCCTCCATCCGCACGGAATGGGGAATGCGACCACCGCGGGCGGGAGGATTCCCCGGGGGTCACTTGCGTCCCCGCCCTGCTCCCTGCTTCCCTCCCCCGCGCGGAGAGGCTCCGGGGCACCGTCTCGGGTCCGCTGGACCGGCCCGCCCACTGCCCCGCCAGCACCGCCCGCACTTCCGAGATCTCGTCCCAGGCAGGACTCACGCTGCTCCGGTCCTGCGGTCACCGCCGCCTCCTCTCCAGGCCCCGCCTGCCTCGGGGTCCGGACCAGGCCCCTCCAAGGCCGGGCTGCCGCGGCCCGCAGACGACCCCGGAGCCCCGAGGCTGCAGCGGCGCGCGGGGCGGGGGGCATGGCCAGCGGCCGGACCCTCGCCCCGACGGCGCAGGGGCTCGCCCTCGCGCTCGCCCGGTGTGTGCAGCCGGCGCCCTGCGCAGCCCGCCCGGCCCCCCGAGAGCCGCCTGCGGGTGTGGCCCGCGCCGTGCGGGCTGATCCACGCCCGCGAAAGGTCCGGAGGAACCTGCCAGCCTCCGTCGATCCGCGTCGCTGCCCTGCGCGAGTCTCAGTACAGTTAGCAGAAACACCGAGGTTCGTTATCACCATCACTGTTGGGGCTTCAGTATTAAATAACCGGTGAATGGATTTCCAGAACCTTTTTGAATGTCTTACTTTCTCACTTGATAATCCCGCAATCATCTTCTCCCTGATTCTCTTAAACAATGAAATAATACAGGAGCAAGTCAAATAGTTCTGACCCCCAAATAAACCAAATAAAAGAAGTAATTTGGTTTTCATTTATTTCCTATTCTTATGAATTTATGCGTGTGCTTTAATATAAATCATAAGATTTCAATTTTTTTTCAAACTTGTTTTCCTTCAAATTATTGTGCACCAAATTTGAAACATTAAATTCAAAACAGTGGGTTTGTTTTTTTGGTTTTTTGGGGTTTTTCTTTGTCTTTTTTTTTTTTGAGGCAGGGTCTCACTATGCAGTTCAGGCTGGTCTTGAGCTCACTTTGTAGCCCAGGCTGGTCTCAAACTCAAAACGATCCTCCTGCCTCAGCCTCCCCAGTGCAGGGATTACAGGCTTGCCACCATGCCCAGCCTCTCTTTTTTTTTCTGCAAAACAGTGGTTTTTTTTTATCAAGGGGAAAAAAACAAAGGCTGTGCGTGGTGGTGCATGCCTGTAATCCCAGCACTTAGGAAGCTGAGGCAGGAGGGCCACCCGGAGTTTAAGGCCAGCCTGAACTACACAGTGAGAACCTGTCTCAAAACAAAACAAAAAGCTCTCAAACCAACAACAACAAAAAAGTCTATCAAGGACAGGAAAAGGGTGGCATCATTTTATGCTACATACCCCATAGAACTGTGGTGATAATCCAGCAGAGTCTGTGGTCTACTCCCGCAGATGAGACAAAAATTCAGAAGCATTGGGAACTGTAGCCTGGACTGAACTTTCTCTCCTGAATTTCCCTGAGAGCTTGGGTGAGATGAAAAGCTGGGAAGTATACTGTAGACACTATTTTCTTGTTTTTGCTTCAAATAGCAAGTCAGCTCTCAAGCAAAAGATTCTCAGTATGCTGATTAATACATTAGCAGTGCCTCCCTACATGACCTAGACCTATGCACTACTGGGACCTCAAGGGCCTACAACTCTTCCGCATTCTCACTGCCCCTCCAGGGTCCTGCCGCAGAGCCATGAGGCTTCTATTTCTCATGCCGACACCCTCTCACCCCTATCCCCACTTCTTATCATGAAGGCCTCAGGATAAATGTCACTTCAAGAAACTTCACAGATCAGAAAATACTCCAAACAGTCCCCCGTGCCTTCGTTCTCCTTTCCTGTATGCTGTTCTTTCTCTCCTGTATAGCCCCTGACACTGAAACGGCAGTATTTGTTTAGCATCTACCTGCCCAAATAGAAGACAGAAGACAGGGCTTTTTGTAAGATTTTTCCCTCCTGCCTCTCTAGTACATAGACCAGACCTAGGCCTGAGATAAATACCTAACAAATAAGCATGGGCTACAGTTCAGCCAGGTGAGGAGTAACCTGTCTGCCAGTGTCTTCCCTAGAAGAAGGTCTAGAGAGATCAAGGGAATGCATTCAATTCTGAAGTCCAATGTTAAGTGCAGACCTTGTTCAAAGACTCTTTGTATGTACTTAAAAACACATTCCTGGATTTCTTTTTTTTTCTTATTCCAAGTTTCAAAGATCTGACAGGTTGTGTAGATTGTCTTTCACCAGTAGGTAGAGCCTTTCAAACTGCAAGGTCTGGGGCTGGGGATTTAGTTCAGCGGCACAGCACCTGCCTGGCAAGCTCAAGGTCATGAGTTCGATTCCGGCTACCGGAAAAAAACAAAATTCAAACTGCAAGGTCTTCTGCCAGGCAGGAGTGGGTATCTCATTCGCTGGACTGAGGTCGAGTCCATGGCAAGGCACGTCTTGCGCAGTCTGGTCCCGTGCCCTGAGTGCTAACTCTGCAGCGTTCGGGTGACAGAAAGGATCCTCCGTTTTCTTACAAGCTGAGAAGTAACTGCGGCGCTCACTGGGAGAAGGTGATGGTGTTTACCTGGTTTTGGAGGCCATGCTGGAATTCTGCTATTGATACAAGTGAAGGGACAATCTGGTTTGGTACACTTTGCGTCATCTTTATAATTTGGAAGAACGAACAGACGTTTTTTCAGAAAATTTAGTCGGGGAAAGCTTTGCACGTGAAACAGGACGGTGGTACGAGCACTCGTCCCCATTTTCACAAGCAGTGGGTACTGCGTGCTCCAGAAGCTTTCCCGGTGCCTGTGCGCGTTGGTTCATGCTTCTCCACCTGACTGATCCATCAGCAGCGCTTCTGCTTCTTGCTCAGTCTGCAGTCAGGATAACAACTGCCTCTGTGAGATCCTTGATTTTTCTCCAGATTGACTTCTTTTGTTTCCTCTTTTTAATAGGGGCCTCACTGGGAGTCCTGCTTTGCCCCTGGGCCACTTCTGCTAGCAATTCTGGAAATGTTCAAGTTCTGGGAGCAACTGAAAGTGCCTGTTTCTGAGGGACCGCAGAGTGCTTGCTTGTTTCTGTTACAGATTTGTGAGCTTCGGAGGTAGCCTTCAACATCAGATTCTTGTTAGCTTGCTGAGAAGGTGGAAGAGGCTCCGCTGGCTCCGATGCACTGCTGGACACGCTTCCCATCAGGAAGCCATCACCATCGTCTTCCTCCTCCTCTTCTCCATTAGGATGGAATTTTTTTTACTTTAATAATGGAACTTACCACAGGCAACTTTCTCTAGAAGGGACTGTAAGTCTTATCTAAGCACTTTTGGTTCACATAAATGTCCTACTGTTCTGTGTATTCAGTTGTGTGAGTCCTCTTTTGCTGCTGCTGAAATTGCAACCTGTTTAAATGAGCACCACTCTGCATTTTGTCTTGCAGGTGATTGATACATTTTAGCACAAGGGCGAGAAGAACCATGTGAAAGTGTTGCTGTAGGTTTTCTCTGAGATAAGGGATTCTTGTGCATAAAACTGAAGTCTCCATCCACCAGATCACCTGGCTCCAGGTCTGGGTCAGTTCAACCACCAGAGGGCGCTGGCTCCCTCAGAGCTTTCACTGTTGCCATTGGTCAGGTTGCAGCGCCATCATCAGAAGTCTATCCACTCATAGTATTCATTTCCTGCTCCTGTGTGTAGAAATTCTAGAACCTTTTATCAGGTCTAGTGCTAGAAATAGCAAGGGGGGGCACTGTACCTTCATGCCTTTGCTCTCTCCTTGACTAAAACTGCTCTTGCCTGAAGGCACATTGTTATCAAAGATATTGGTATCAGAGGACTTCAGACTGGAGGGTTCAGCTGTAACAGAGTGAAGTTTATCCAGTACACCACGAGGCCATACGGTGAATCGAATTGTGTTGTTCCCTAGAAACAGGAACAGGTCCACGTCATTTGGCCTTGACTTTCTTGTTGGCCACCATCACCAGAAGGTAGTTCTTCATCCACATCCGCAATTTCCCTTCATGGTTCTCTGGATCAGATCTGGCAGCTGATCTCCACGTGGATCTCCACAGCACTGTGCAACTTCGCTTACCTGGAGCAGATCCAGGCTCCCCCTCACAGCCTGAGCACCGGCACTCGCTTCCCAGCCATGCGCACATGTTCCTGGATTCCTGTTCCCTCCTTTAGATGATTGCTCCCTAGGTTCCCACCTATGTTTCTTATTGTTCTTCTCACACTGAGTGGAAACTGTCAATGGGTGGTTCTTCATTCCTTGTGGACAAGGACAGTCTTCATAATCTTGATGCCCTGTGTAGCTAGGGTTCAGCTGTAACTGACAGGGAAACCCAAGTAGGTGTGGCTTAAACACAGTGTCTTCTGCAAGTCTGGAAGTGTGCAGGCCTGTGCAGGTGATGCTTCTGCTTCACAAGGTCCTCAGGAACCAGCCCACACCCGCTAAGCCCAGGACTGCACCATCCCGCGGTGCAACAGCCAGCTCAGGTGTGAGAGTTGGCATCTGCTCCAGGCAGCAGGATGGAGACAAGAAACAGGAAGACGAGGCAAAGAACACGTCACAGCTACAGAAAAGTTCTCAGAAGCACCTTTGATATCCCACTGACTAACATTCAGTCGTGTGGCTGTACTTGCCTGTGGTTGCAAGAATAAGAAAGGTACTGCATGTCGTCATTCTGAAATACACATTTCTCACATTTCAACAGCGTAAAGCATGTACATTTGCTTCCACTAGTCTCAAAGGACAGTATCGTTAGGCTCTTTTACTTAAAGTTTCTATTTGAGCTTTTTTGGATCATACCATTCCTGTGGATTCAGACTACAAACCTATCTGTGCACTAGTTGTGGTTAGCATTCTCAGCTGGTGGTTCTCCGTCCAACCAGTGCCAAGGCTTAGCACGCAAGTTGCCTGGCTGCTTCTTTCTTCTTGGGGGATTAGTCCCTCCTTTAGCTTTGCTCTGTGGGTATGAATTTTGGTTACTGCATTCACACTGTGGTAACCTATTGGACTCACCGTCTTGACTATTCTTTCTTACTTAGTGCTTTATAAAATAGGGAATTAATGAAATATAGTATTCTATTCTGGTGATCATGGGCCTCGCTAAAATTCTATTAACATGAGAAAAAAGTAGAATATTGAAGGACAATCAGGAATTCCTGGAATTTCTAGCATCCAAGCAATGTATTTCATGAGTAGACTACAAAACAACAAAAAAAACTGGCACGTTACACTTGTGGATGATTTCAGAGGTTAAATTGAAGTTTAGTATATTCTAATATGCAGAAAGCTTTGAATCCTCATGAAACAGAATTAGATTTGAGCCCAGCACTGGCTCAGCATTTTGTCTCTAATTTAGGGATCTCTCTTCCTACCCTACCTCCCTACCCGTGTGTGTGTGTGTGTGTGTGTGTGTGTGTGAGAGAGAGAGAGAGAGAGAGAGAGAGAGAGAGAGAGAGAGAGAGAGAGATTGTGTGTGTATGACAGTTTGAAATAATAAACATGAGACTGAGGCTAGAAGGATTTCTAGCCTCAGAATCTCTAAATTCTCTTCTACCTCCCTGACCTCTCTGTAGACAGCAGAGCGATTACCTCATGCTTGTAAGAGGAGCAGCTCAATATTACATGTTTAGTAGATGGACTTGTGTCTCCAGAACTACTCACTATAATATGATTTGAGGTTTTCTAGAACAGTTGTTAATCCAGTTATTGCTGCAAAACAAAAGTGACTGTTCCTTAATTATACAATGAAAGAACAGTTT